TTTAGTATATTTTTTATTTCACTTCTTAAACTTCTCAACTGTAAGTTATTTAGATCTCATTTATAATTTGTAAAACTTAAGCCTCAGAACCCGAGCTTTAAGTTAGATTTTAGGGCATTTAAGACGCGTTATACTCATATAAATATATATATGTTCTGTTTGGACTGCATTTCTTATGACCAATGCCATTACATATGCATTTGTGGGAAGACCCGCATGTGCAACTAGACATCAAGTCGCACTTTCCGGCGAGATGTATTCGGGGAGCAGCTGCTCAAATGGCAAAGAAATCATTATTTATAGGCAACGGGAGGAACACACAGAACCACAGATCAACTGGCAGACAAACAGAGAGAGATGCAGAGAGAGGGGCTCAGAGAGAGATAGGGGAAGGAAGCGGAGACAGTGCCATTGGCAGACAGGGCACATAGAAATGAATGCAAACTGTTGCCAAGACAGACGACATGCAGAGACCATCAATATAAATTTCAATATGACCAAAAACATATTTGCCATTACGAACGAAGAAAAATGCTGGCAGACCGCACAATCAAAGGGAAACACCAGCAGTCGGAGGAAATAAGTACAATACCAAAAAAATATATACTGCAAAACTCGAGTATATAAATAAATTAAATTACAGATAAGCATAAAAGATAACCTCAGCTATAAGCAATAGTTAGCACATTTTATCATTCAAAATAGATAAAAACTATTCAAATATATAAAAAAGCATATCTTTAACTTATGCATTCGCAACCCCAAAGAGTTGTCTATAGGAAAAATGTTCACAATAACTGCTCTAAAATATACAGTTTGTCAAGTAATTCTTTGCATCCACTACAGCCGGCAGACAACGTGTCATTGAGTGAATAAGGTTATTCAGGTCATAGATTTCGGGTATTTTTATCCATTCCTCTTGAATGGCCTTGATGAGAGCGTTTTTATTAGTTGGGCTCCGTTTCCCTACGCGCTTCTTTAGGAAAGCCCACAAATTTTCAATTGGGTTTAAGTCTCTGGGCAGGGGTGTCAATGACTTTCCTGCATTTATACAGTAGCCAAGTCCTGCACAAAAACGATTTGTGCTTGGGGTCCTTGTCCTGATAAAGCTTGTACCTCTGTTTATTGAGGTTTTGAGGGTCTTCGAAGCCAAACATTATTGCGCTCCTTGACAATTCATTCTTTAGAATGTCCAAGTAAAATTCTTTAGTTATCACATCATTGAAAATGCGCAGCTCACTAACACCTTTTGACGATATGCAGCCCCACACCATAACCGAAAGCTTGCCAAACTTTACTGTTGGTATTATATTCTTCGATTCCAGAGCTGCATTGGGTTTTCTCCAAACTTTGCTGGGTCCGTCATGATAATATAACATTATTTTTGTCTCGTCACAAAAAATAACGTCATCCCAGTACTCCGCGGGCTTGTTGACATTCCCAATCGAAAATTTAAGCCGCCTCTGAATATTTACTGCCGACAGTAGTGGCTTCTTCCTAGCTATTTGCGAGGTGTGTTTATGCACTTTTAAAATTTTACGAACTGTCTCGTGGCTCACTGTCTTATTGCAGTCATTTTTTAAGTCCGATGCCAATTGTCGGAGGCTAGTTTGAGGTTGATCGTTGATCTGTTTTAAAAATTTTTCCATGATCGCGTCTAGTGAGCTTCGCTGATCTGCCTCCGGAGTGCTTTAATACCAATCTGTTTTCTTTTTCGGCTCGGTTAATAATATTATAAATAGTTCTTAGCTTAACTGCGAACATTTCCGCCAATTCTCTAGCAGATTTCCCCTTGTTGTAGTGGAAATAAACTAATTACATTAGATTTTCATCAACTCGTTGACCAGGCATTGCAAAAAGCTCTAAATTAGGCAAGATGTAAACTGTCAAAAACGCTTGGGCTCTATTTTGAATTGTGTTTGCATTTTGCAAAGAATTAATTGACAGCGCAAAAATTTCCTCATTTTAGTTTTGTCTGTATTTTTTACATTTGTGTTTTGAATTTTGTTATGTTTGTGCCTTATCTATGAAGAATACTTAGAATAATAATAATGCAAAAAAAATTAAGAAGAAATAGTTTAATTCGGTAAAATATTAATTTAAAATTGAATTTGTGTGATGTTTTTCCTTTTGGAAACAATTACTTGACAAACTGTATCTCTACTCTATACATTATAAGCATCTTTCTGAAAAAAAAGGAAAAACTGCAGAAAAATACCACAAGTAGAAAAAACCTACAACGGAAAGCATCAAAAATACCAAAAACATTGCTGAAATTAAGAGATTTGTAGTAAAATACTTAAAAAATACAATACTTAGAAACTATCTTAAGTCTAAGGGCATGAAAATACGAAACGATTAATAATAATCGCAGTAGAGAAAAGAAAAACAAAAAGTAAAAGAAATTAGTAATATTTAATTTTAAAAAAAAATAAAAAATACCAAAAATACCGGACAGCGAATTGTGTGCGTATATTGCTTAGACGCTTCTATGCTTGCAAGCATACACATAAGAGCGAGACGTCATTAACTAACTGCAGTATATACCAGCTCAGAGCTTGCAACACAAGAAGAAGGCGAAGAATGGCGTGCATCAAGCGTGCCCCAGGGGCGACTTTGCCACATGCCACTCCAAAAAGCCAAACTTTAACTTTAAGCGTAATGACATCAGCTGCCGCCTGTGCCCTTTTGCGGCTGTTGTTGTTTGTAGCATACACTCGGGCGCAAGTGGCAAGCGGCAAGTGGCGAGTGGCACAAGTAGCCAAGAAGCGAACCACAGGCCAGGCCAAAAGGCAAAAAGTGCAACGTGAAAGTTGCAGCAACTTGCAACTTGCAAGACAAAAGCGACTCAAAAATTACAGCAACAGGGGGGCTGGAGAGAGGGATAGCTGATGCTGTTGAATGAATGTGTGTGTTTGCGATAAAAACGGAAGCGCAGATTGCCCCAGCAGCAACAGCATCAACAGCGGCAAAAGGCAACGACCAAAGTGTGGAAATGTCAATTTGCTTGCGCCAGGACTCAATGGGCAGAGAGGTGTAAAAGCTAAGAGGCAGTGGGCCGGTGGGCGTGACCGCACCGGAAGATGGCAACGGAAAGTGCAACAGCAATAACAACAACAACAACAGCTGCAGCAGCAGCTGCAACAACGTGTATTGATTTTCAATTTGACGCCGTAAGATAAAAAGCCAAAACGACAGAGAAATGGCATTATAGAGAGAGCAAGAGAGAGAGGGAGAATGGGAGAGATAGTGAGAGAGAGAGAGAAAGATATAGAGAGAGAAGAGAGATATAGAGACAGAGCGAGAGAGAGAGAGGAGAGAGATATAGAGACAGAGCGAGAGAGAGAGAGGAGAAAGATATAGAGACAGAGCGAGAGAGAGAGATGGCTATAAGTTTGAGAGCCACTGTGCGCAAATGAACGGCCAAAGCTTAAAAGCAATTTTGCGGCTAATAAATCCGATTTCCGTTTTGTTTCGAAATAAATTGCGAGCGTGTTGTTGTTGTTTATGTTGTTGTTTTTGGGGGGATTTTGTGTGCACCGGAAATGGTTCTCCGGAGACATCAACGTACAACGGGCAACCAGCAGCTGCTGCTTTCAGCCGGATGTGCTAAATTAGCAGCTGCAATGGGCACTCCAAATGCACAACAAAAAGCCAAACACACACACACACCCACACTCCCACACACACAGTCAAATGACCTAATTTAACAAGTACAACCAAGGGAGCTGCACTCAAGTGTTTATGAGATACCCTGTAAAGAGAATAGCTGCGCAGCTGTTGCCCAAAAGTAGGCAATATAATAAAAAGAAAGCTTTAAGCAATGTTTAGACAACAGGTAAAAGAGCATTCAGCTTGGATGACCCAACGATTTTAATACATGTGTTTCCATTTGGAAAACTCAAAAAATAGTATTTTAGCAGCTAAAGGTTGTAAATTAGCGGATATTAATTAGATTATAGCTAGCTTCATGTTATCGAAGACGCCGTAAGTAATACGTTAATACACTTTGTGACAACATTGCAATACCTTTTAACTCTTTCGCTTTATTTACTTTCCACGGTATATGAAGAAAATCTCTACTAACTTTTTATTATACACACCTACCCTAGATTATACCATTATAAGTATAAAAATAGTCCATTTTCCCTCATTACAACGTATTTTCTTCCTTTTTCGTTTCTATAAAGAACATTTCATTAAACACATTTTAAATCCATAACGACTGCATTAGAGACAGAAAATGTACTCATGAGCCCATTTTTGCTATCTACAGGGTATCTCTCCATTTATGTTTAACGCTATATGACGAATATTTTTCCTCAACCTTTCATTATACTCAATTTAGCAATAGATAAGTATTACATACGTCCCTATTTTCCATTACGTTTGCATTACAGGGTATCTCTTCGATTCCTTTTAATTCCTATTCCTCTTTTGTTTCCTTTTCTTCTGATTTCTGATTCCTTTTCTCTTGATTTCCTTGAACTTTCCATTGTAATCATTTTACCAAACAGACCTCAAGAAAAACCGACTATTATAACATGTCCACTCTCATTACAGGGTATCTCTTCGCTGTTTCATTCTAATGATAGACATAGAATATCTTTCCTGAACATGACATTATACTCATTAGATCAATAGTTGCATATAAGAATCATGCTTAAACCTACTCGTTTCTGTCTTACTCATTACAGGGTATCTCAGTGCCTGCTTTCGATGATATGTGTAAAAAAAATCTCTCTTGAGCTTTCCATAATAGTCATTAAATGAATATGATGCTCATAAGAAACAGACCAAAACCATATCCGCCCATTTTTTACTCATAACAGGGTATAATTTAGCAATTCAGCAATAGAAATCATCAGGGTATTCCAGGGTATCTTCCTGCTTTCTCTGCTTACAATCAGAATAAAATACTATTCTCCGATTTTAAACCATTACAGAGTATCTCCTAATTCCTTATCTCTGCCAACAAATCGTATTAATTGAGCACTCACCTGAACATCAAAATTTTGCTGCTGTTGCTGCTGCTGCTGCAAGAGATTGCCTGAAGATTCCATATGATTGGGTCCGCCTACCTGTGCGCCCTGATGATTCAACATGGGTGACTGACAGAAAGAGACAGATAGAGCATTATGCTAAAGGCAATGCTTGTCAAATTGGTGCAGTTTCTCACCTGTGCGGCCATTGGCATTCCGGCACCAACTCCATTCATCATCGGCGGCTGCAATTGACTCATCTGCGCCGCCATCTGTTGATGTGCATAGGCAGCTCCACCGCCTCCGCCGCCCACCGAATTGTTGCCCATGCCATGACCCTGGCCATGATCCATGAGCATGTGATTGAAGTGCGGCATTTGTGGGAAGCCGCCATGGTGTGTTGGATCCAGCAAAGTGGGTGGGCGTGGCAGTGTCTCTTCAGCGGGCGATGGCTGACGGGAGCCGGGAGTGCGACTGTAAATGAAAACGATAAGAGAAAAGAAAATAAAATTACATAAATTGCTATGCATGCACTGCTGAATTAAGACAATTGGGTTTGAATGTAATTGGAGCACACAACGTACAGTTGTAATGTCACTGTAGAACTTGTTCTCTACAGTTTGACACTCACTGCGCATATCCCTTAAGCCTGCCAACAGTTTATTTCACTGTGCAACAACTTGCATGCCTGTTCAGTTTAAGAGCCACTGTGACAAGTGCTTAGCACAGACAACAACCTAGGCAGTTTAAGAAACTAGCCATGACACGCACTGTACTAAAAATACATTTAGCACAAAGACCTCAAACTGTCCGCAAATGTTTAGTTGTTGAAAACCAATTATAAACAAATTAATCACAGCTAATTGGACTTTTTAAGCAAATTTGTACTCTATTTGGCGACAATTAGGCGCTGCTGCAATGCATATTTGTACAGTTTGCAAGTCACTGGCAATGACTTGCCAACTGTGTGGGTAAACAAAAGACTTAAGCAGCAAACTTGTTGAGACTTATTGTTTGACAAGATGAAGTGCGGGTAGAGGGGCATATAGTCTATGACGTCAGCAGAAAGACTGTCGCCAAAACGGCAGCTGGTAATGTTGCCATAAATAAAAACAAATAAACAATAATAAATTCTGACGGATTTTTTTTTTTTTCGAAAATGCAAATTTCAGTAAGATATATACAAATAAATCAATACATTATATATATACGCGACTGTCTGTGTTAATTAATGCATTTGTCCGTGTTGAAGCTCGCCAACAAAATTTGTGCAGTGGCTGTACAACTGTATGCGTCTGCTTTGTTGACTCACAACGCGCGCTTTTGCCGTCTCGCTCTAACATGCAGTCAGCGCGAATTGGCCATAAATTAACTGTCGGGTCATTAACACCAAACACGGCAACAGCCACTGCAGTGGCTGTGCAACTGTAACGCGCGAGTGACTAATCCTCAAGCCGAATGGGCTATGCTTAACCAGCTGCTGCTCTAACTGTAAGCTATACAGCACGTGCTTATAATTTGCCCAAAACTGTAACTAATTTCATGGCTTACAACATTTTGATTAATTTTAATCAGTAATTGGGCCACACAAATTAAAAAAAAAAATATTGAATAATATGTTTATTTTAAGGTGTTTTTATTGATCTGTCGACAAAATGCAGACTTGTAAAATTTCAATATCTTCATCTTTTACTCTTTATTAGCGACAGCAGTTTTTTAGGTCTGGGTTGAAAGATGAAAGAGGAACCTCCGTAGTTTATTTTCAATCTATTGTAAGCGTCAAAATTTGTATTAAACCCAAAATTTACAGTGCTTTTGAGTGTTTTGTTATTCTGTTTTGTTTTGAAAAGCTCCCAACTTATCTCTGTTGTAAGCTCCAAAAACTTGGCCAAAATTTAACTGATATTGATAGCGTATTCTGATTTTGATCATGAGTTGCCCTTTTCGTAATTGCTTTTCAAGTAAATTCATTGATTGATAATATTTTGTCTAATATTTCAAAAACTGAATTTTTCTGATATAAGAAAAAACCCCACTCAATCTCCAAGTCAATATATATGTTAAAATTATTAACATCTTAAATAAAATTTATCTCTATTCTGAAGCCTCACACTCTCCCGTCCTATCTATATTGTAATACATTACAATGACTCTTAAACTGCATATCTATATATAAACCTCACACTGACTCTTAAACTGCATTTTTGTTTTAATATGAAAAACTCCCGCTGAATGTCAATTTGATACTATATTTCAATACTTATCGACATATATATATAAAAAGCTCAAGACGACTCTCAAACTGCATGCATTAAAAACTTTAAGCAATGAAATATATGAAAGTAAGCTTAAATAAGCAAATACAAAATACGATACGCTATTTGTCTAAGGTCAGTTCCATTGGCAACATTCCACATTTCATGCCCAAACGCTGACCAAGAATCTTTTATTCAAATTTCGCTTATGCAATAGAAAAAAAAAGAGAGTGAATAGCAAAAGAAATGTTTCACTTTCAGCGGCAGCCAAAAGGAAAGTGCGCAGCCAAATGTTGATAAAAAGGTCAATGGAGCTCATAATGTTGACCAAGTAAGCAGACGGTTAGACGGGCGCGGGCAGACAACAGACAGCCAAGTCTCTGTCGAGAGTAGGTCGGGCGACAGGTGCTCCGTTGTAGTAACTGAAACCACACACAAAAACAACAACAACAACAACAACAAAATTGCAAACTCGAATTCAAGCCCCCTGCCCAAAGTTGGCCAGCTTGGCTGGCTGTTGCCACAATTTGAAGCGAGCCGTTTGAATTTTCGCAACTAAATTTCATTACGCGGCGCGCAAAACGTGAGCAACAAAAAAAAAAAAAAATAGTCGTATAAAAAAAGATATATATATATATATATAAAACAATATAAAAAAAATTAAATGAAACCTGCCGCAAAAACAAAAAAACATAAACGCAAACCAATCGAACAAAATGCTATACAAAAGTGAGTCTCAATAGAGCTCAATATACATTTTTGTTTTTTGTTGTTGCTTGAGTCATTGTTGTTGTTGTTGTTGTTGTTATGTTCACTATTGCCGTTGATTACTTACATCATAACCGTTATTACGTTTGGCATTGAAACACGTTTTGGCTGCGCCGCCGACACCGGCATTGAAATTGCAGCAACAACAACAACAACAATTGAAAGAGAAAACCGGCAAAGCAGAGCAACAAAAAATAAGAACAACAAAACCAACAACAGCCTGAAGAGCCAACCACAACTGGTTTTTGTTTATGGTCTGGGGATAGGCTTTGCAATTGCCCACAAAAACTTTATAAGGCCCGAAATTTTTGCCAGAGCGTGTTGTAAGCGGCTATTTAAAGAGATGAAAACGAATTACGATTGAGATTGAAAGAGAGAGAGAAACAGAGAGAGAGAGAGAGAGAGAGAGAGAGAGAGAGAGAGAGAGAGAGAGAGAGAGAGAGAGAGAGAGAGAGAGAGAGAGAGAGAGAGAGAGAGAGAGAGAGAGAGAGAGAGAGAGATGGAGTGAGTTAGAGCGGTATGTGATGAGACAAAGGAAACATAGGGAAATAACTGCGACAGGCAGAGAAGGAAATGCAAAAGCAATAAGGAGGGAAGAGAAGCAAATAATAAAAAGATAAAAGAAAAAATGATAGCGAGAAAAAGAGGGAGTGAATTAATAATGTATAAAACACAAATGAGTTGGATAGAAAAATAGAAGAAAGATAAAAATGAAGAGAAAAAGGGTGAGGCAGGAGGACAGGGAAAAATATGGAATAAAGGAGAGAGGAGCAAAGAGAGCAAGAGCGAGAGACTGAAATAAGAGAGCCAGATAAGAACAGTGATTACGACCCAGACAGAGGCAGATGATTCAAATAACGAACTAGCGAGAAACCTATGGAGAAAGAGGAAGATTACGAAACACATACAAACAGAAAGAGGGAGTGAAAGCAAAAGCAAAAAGAGAAATAAAGCAAATGATAGAGAGAGAGAGAGAGAGAGAGAGAGAGAGAGAGAGAGAGAGAGAGAGAGATAGAGAGAGAGAGATGGATAGGGAGAGAAAGAAATTCCGAGAGAGAGAGGGATAGAGATACAAAGAGAGAGCGAGAGAGCGAGAGAGGGCGAGAGCGAGAGAGAGCGAGAGAGAGAGCGAGAGAGAGCGAGAGCGAGAGAGAGAGCGAGAGAGAGAGCGAGAGAGCGAGCGAGGGAGAGAGCGAGGGAAAGAGAGCGAGAGAGAGAGAGCGAGAGAGAGAGAAGAAAAGAGAGAGAAATAAGGAAAGAGAGAGAGAGAGAGAGAGAGAGAGAGAGAGAGAGAGAGAGAGTGCAAAAGAGAGAGAGAGAGAGATAGAGAGAGAGAGAGAGAGAGAGAAAGAGAGAGAGAGAAAGAGAGAGAGAGAAAGAGAGAGTGCAAAAGAGAGTGAGAGAGAGAGAGAGCGAGAGAGAGAGAGCGAGAGAGAGAGAGAGTGAGAGAAAGAGAGAGTGCAAAAGAGAGTGAGAGAGAGAGCGATAGAGAGAGAGAGAGAGAGGGAGCGGCGCAGAGAGAAAGAAACTATGCATAGAGAGAAAGAAATGGAGAATAATACAGAGAGCGAAAAAGATAGACTACAAGGTAGAGACAGGCAGAGAGAGGGAAGCCCAGATACGTAGCTGCTACCGATACAGAGAAAGACATGAAGACAGAGGAAGAGCGAGAGGGAAAGAGGGACAACGAGGCATAGACCTATAAAGAGAGATAGAAAGAGACTTAAAAAAAGCAGAGAAAATACAGAGAAATTTATTAAATGCTAGATATTTGATTTATTTTTAATATTTAATTCTTTTTTTTCAGCATTCGTAAACGTTTTATTCAAGTTGAAAAAAGAGAAAACTGTTGCAAAATATCATAAAAAACTCAGGAGAGTAGATAACCAGCAGGGATTTGAAGATCCATTTGCTTAGTGTTTAACAAAATATTAATGGGTAAAAATATATATACAAAAAAAAAAGAACACATCTATAAGAAATTTCCCTTTATAAGAGCCGAAAGATTACCAAGCACAGCTCCAAATTTCGTACAGCTGTCAAGTAGATTTAGAAAGTGCTGCCAAAGGGGCAAAGACATAAAACACTTGACAACTGAATCATCTTTTTATATGCGAATGTCCCAAAAATAAACGAATAAAACTAAGTGCAGCAAAAGCGAGAAAGAAACAAATGTGGGCCAAGTGGGCAGCAAAGGCGACACAAGTGGGTGTTGACTCAACGGATCTCAACTCACAGCAGTTGGAGAAATATTTAACTCCGTCATTTGCCGAATCAATAAGAAATATCTCCCAAAATCAATTTCAGACTGTGGGCAGAATGTTTGCATTTCAGAGATAATTTTATTACAAATGGAAGTTTCTTGAGACATGAAAATAGAAGCAGAAGGCTAAAAGGGAAGTCGAGGGAAAATAAAAAAAAATGATACGAAAAGTATTTGACAGCCAAGCTCAATGCAATTGGCTAATATCGAGGGGGATGGAATCTATAAAAATTGCATGCCATTAACGAATAAAGAAATATATATAAAGATTGATTAATAGATCGCACTATATATCATGAAACAGCCCTATTTTCAACAACAAAATTATGTATCAAAATAACACATCTATATGGAGCAACAACTCTTCTTTTTCTGTAGTTTCTCAGTCTTGAGGAGCGTGCTCCACATGTTATGCCCCCCGCGTCATAAGTCTTAGCAACTGACGCAACTTCAGAACTCTTAGCTTTGCCCCTCTGGCCCATACAAGAACGTGCCGTGGGGACCTTGAAGAAACCAGTTTGCTAGAGAGACATGGCATAGGCATAGGCTTAGCCATTCTAATGTCAATGCCATTGGCCAGACTTGAACTAGACACTGGAGACAGACGACCGAGCGGCGGAATAGTTGATCAGTTATCTGGTTAAACATGGCTAGGCTGTCTACTCACTTGAATCCCTTGTCATCGTCGATGCCATTGACGACTCCATTTGTGTTTGTGACTTGGTCGTCCTTCTTTAAGCCATTTGTATCAACCGGAGAGTTTGCCTTTTCCTTATCATCGTGTGACTGCAATAGACGAACGGGCATATATTAGTTGATACATTTTTATTATATAACTTGAGATCACAGTTTACCTTATCATTATCGTCAAATTTTAAATTGCGCATCCGCGGCTCCAAGCTGGACAAGGGACTCTCCTTGTTGGTGGGTGAGCCGCCCAGAACAAATTCAACCATCTTAACGCATGTTGAATCGCGGGGGCTGTTAGGGAAAAAGGAAAGAAGGGAGCGATTAAAACAAGTTAAGCACCCAACAGACTTAGAATCACGTAAATTAATAACGTTTAAATTGTTACGTATTACGCGTTTCCGTTACGTTACAGCTTACGTTACGTAACGAGATATTTCGGATCTTACATAACTTTAAGCAACGTAATTGCTTGATAGCAAGTAAAACATAAATCCATTAAGGGTTACGTATTACGCAATTGATTACGTTATAGGTTACGTTACGTAATCATATTTTTCCTATCTTACGTAACGTTAGACAACATAAGATAAATTACTTGATAACACGTAATGCATTAATCCTAAAAGGCTAATGCTCCATTGGTTCTTTAATTCAATACGTAAAGGTGTTACGTAATGTTAGACAACAACATAAATATTTCATAACAAGCAAGGCATAATTCAACGAATTAGATTTACATGACGAAATATAAGAGTCTCGCTTAACATTACGTAACGTAACGTAAGCAAATTAAAATCCGTTAAAGTACTCTCACAATATCTCACCTCAATATGCCCGCATTGCCGCTGTTCGAGTTATCAGAAGCGCCGCCATGGGGATAACCACGTGGCCTGGGCGGTGCCAGTATATTTTCGGCCTGTGTGGACCATGTGTGATCCTTCCAAACGGACGAGTGATCGCCAACACCGGGTATCTGCAGAGGATTCAATGGGCCCCCTGGTGTACTGGAGGCGCCACTTTTACCATCCGACTTCTCCCACAGCTTCTTGGCAGTGGATGTGGTAATCTGCAGGAGAGATAGAAAGGAAAAGGTAAAATTAGAAAGCAAATTTCAAATGCACATTTTCTATGGCATTAACGTGTCAGAAGCAGCAGGGCAACCAAGTTTTCCATTTTCCATTTCAGTGGTGCAATTGAATTATTAGCAACATCAATAATTTACCGCAAAAACGCCCACAGGCAAACCCCCACCTTTCCCCCTCCCATCTAAACTGCATGCAAAAGCAGGCGTCCAGTAAGCTTCCTGTTGGGGCACGTCCTACGTTTCCTGCGATTGCTGCGCTGCGTTCTGCTGACTGTGCTGATAACTTTTGCTCGGCTTTAGCAGCTAATGCCACACTGAGTCCGAGTCGTGTCCAGCATTGCAAAGTTTTTATAATCCTCAACTTTAATGCTGTCCCTCCCTCCACCCATTTCCGCTCCACCACTAGTGACAACAATCCTGCAATCCTGCAGCCTGGTGCAAAACGCATAGCTAATGAAATCAAATTAGCTGCAGTTGGGCCTCTAATGAAAACTACGTGACAATTGAATTCGCATTTCAGTAGCAGTTAATTAGGAAACAGCTGATAAACCATAAGAGAACCTCAAATGTGTGATAGGTATATGACCTTTAAGATCTACAACATAGTGTAATATATGATATCTCTATTAGAGATAATTTTGTGATAAACAGAAAAGGAATAAATAGAATAGGGATACTTGAAAAGCATTCCATTCCATTCTGTCTTCATCGGTTCTTACGTAAATTATACGTTAGGTTAAGTGAAGAAAATTATTTAAAAAATTAATTGTCCAACGTTATATTAAGTTGTATATGTAAACATTGAGCGAGCTGTTAAGGTATGTACATAAACACAAGTTGTTTAATTTAATATTAATCTATTAAAATAACTACGCAACGTCTTACGTCTGGTCACGTAACGGAACGTGTAAATAGATATTTGTAAAAAGATATTTACGAAATCCCGCGTATTGTCATTAAAAAGTTCAAAAGGATCATTTTTATCTTTTGCCACATTTAACTAAAGTCCTAAGTTACGTAAGCAAGTAGATACGTAACGTAAGATATGGTTCGATACCACATATGTATTGGGTAAAGTACAACAGTTGAGTGGACATAGGAAACGTAAGCTTAATGCGTTGTCAACATTCCGCCAATGCCTTTAAGAAAGCATAATACAGTTACGTAACGTTTATTTAACGGCAAACGCTTATCTATAGTAGACTTGTTTACAGCGTTCTTGCACAATATTTGGGCCACTGACCTCCAAGCAGAGACCACAGTGCCTTATTTTTTCTAGAGATATAAATCATCTGAGGTAGCCAATAGCGATTGGGCGGGGCGGTGTCACCCAGTCAGGGAAGGCAATGATTCAGAAGCGCATCAAAGACAGTCGCCAGACAGCAGTTAGTTACATTTCTCAAGCTGTAAATCAAGCAACAACTTATGAGAAGCTTTGCCGTTGACAAACTGACACTGCAAGTGCACAATGCGAAAGAAAGGGACGTAGAGATAAAAAGAGACAGTAAGAGAAATAGAGCGAGAGAGAGGCAGACAGTTGGACAGTTGACGGGTTGCTTCATCAGTCAAAACAGCTGCCGCAACTCGAAACCATTTGTGGCAGTTTTGTCTTTGGTCACCAGCGATATTTATTGGCCACTTTTAGAGGGACAAAGAGCAAGGAGCAAGGAGATCGAGAAAGAGAGGGAGAGCGAGAGAGAGAGAGGGAGAGAAATAGAGCTCTAACAACTGCAGCATTTAACACCCAATTAAAGCTATGTCCAAGCGCACTTAAGCTTATATCAAAATCAGATAATAATACTAATATCCCTTAGTCAACCACCTCCACATACACCCCCCGCCCCCGCCCCCACTAAGCTCGAAAAGCTTTACTCTGGGGCCTGGCACATGCGTTAAATTTGCCTAATTAACTTTTATGCTACATGAGTTTTTATTATTGCCTTTCATTCCCAAGGCATTTGCGTTGTCATAATGCGTCAACGCGACGCGTGCCACGTGCCACATGCCACAGTTTCCAGTGTTGCCACATATAGCTGGCAACATCATCTTAAATATTTGATATGCCCATCACCCAGCACATTTACGAGGCAACAGTTGAGCGAAGTCGACGTCGCGAATCCCATGAATTATGCGCAACGAGGCAGCACTTTCCCTTTACCCCCTATACCTACCTCTTTTCGGGAACTTGTCTCCTTGCGAGGAGTTTCGTTTCACTTTTCATTGGGCCCCATCAAAAACGACTTATTCGAATTGAATTTGGAATGTGTAACGCATGTCGGTTAGGCAAAATTTCGAAATTGATTTGATTTTGGCCTCAAATGAAAGGGAAATCTAATGGAAAACTATTATTAAGTGAAAACACATCTTAGTTTTATATATTTAAAGCATTGTACTTTCTTTGCAGTTTGACGCTTAAACTGCGTTTGCAATCCTAGAGTAGATAGCAAAGGGCGGTGCTTGAAATGTACCCGCTAACTTTTAATGTTTAAACCTTGTTGATTGATTATCAATATTAACTAAAAAATTCAACAAGCATTGAACTCGAGCCGGCCTGTGGTAGTTTTCTTGACACATACAAATCCCTTACTCTAATCAATTTCACATCGAATGATGTCTTGTGCCATTGCTTAGAATTTCAGGGCTGCTGAAACACTTTTTAGAGGTGGGCAATGACCACCTTGTGCCAAAAATTTCCAACAAGCCAAGCCCAAAAGTGTCAAAGAAAAACTCTTCCGCGACACAAAGTGATAAACAACCCCAGAAAGGGCACAAATTTGTTTGTTAGCCAATATTTGCGCAGTTCAAAACTATAACTAAAGCAATGCAGACGCGGCCCAAAGGTAAACAGACATTATAGATAACGAACATAAGATACCCTTTCGGCAAAAAAGAAGGCAAATATACGATTCCCTGCTTGGGGAAATATGCCGCCAGGGTAACTGAGATAAACTCTAGAAAATATTAAAATAAAATGCCAAAATATGAGTACTTTATAGTATATGACAATGCACTCATATACCCTATTCATAAGCACAATTTTCAACAACAACTGCTTGGCTAAAAGCGTGAAAGCGTCAACAAAAAAAATGTTGTTGCCAACTGGGCCTGTCGCACAGATTGCTCAAACAATGGCAAGAAAAACAACAACAACAAAGGTGTCAATAAACAATAACGGCAAAAACAACAACAATTTAAACTAGTTTAACGCAACTAAACATTTCATAATAAATAAAAAAAAATATATATATATATATGTTTACGGAGCGTATGCGCAATATGGGTCATCTTTATAGGGAGCTCCACCGTCGCCGCCCGCCCTCCAATCACTCCCACGCAAATATTGAATTAATATTAAAACAAAAAAAATAAAATTAATAAAAAAAATAATTGCAGTTTTTTTATATAAATGGAACAATTAATAAAAATGCGGCGCTTGACAAAAATAAACTAAAGTAAAGAAAGTTCTTTAAACGACAGAACAAAACAAAAACGTGTCCGTCGAATGCTACCAACTGCGTGATACCCTGTTTATAGTGCACGCAAAGCATTTTAAGCCAATAAGAACAAGAGTATTTCGAGTAGCCGCAGATTAAATAAACTACATTTTTCAAGTAGTCCCCACTCAAAACAGAATTTGGTGAGTCGTGTGCTCTGAAATGGGTAATCTAAGAATTTATTCAAGCCCCACCCTTTTTCCCTTTTATTACAGGGTATAAGCTAGAAAAAAATACGCTATTTTAGCATTTTTGGCGCCTTTCATTCAACAGAGCAGCGTGAATAGCCGAAAAGTAAAGAAAACGTTTTGCATAAATTAAAAAAAAATTTTAATGAATAAGCAACAGAAAAAGAAATATCAACAGCAAATTGAAAGACAAGCAAATGAGTCAACAAAATGAGTGGAGAAAAATCAGAAAAGTGAGAGCCACCCCCCTCGCCCCCACCTCACACACACACACACACACACACACGCACACAGTTGAGCTGAAAACGGCTCAAAAGAATTACAAAAACAACCAAATCGTTCATTAACTTGTCCTTGACTGTGAAGAGACAACAACAACAACAACAACAGCAAGCAGAGCGTGAGTGCAAGAGCGAGACTGCAAAAGAGAGGCAGAGTGTGCGAGAGGGGGAGGGGGAGGGCTTGGCGGCACATAGCTAACCGGCCCTAAAAACATGCGTGAGACCAAAAGACAACAAAGCGACGACCAAGAACGTGCGCACAAAGCAAACGAGTAGAAGAACAAGCGACGAACGAGGCGATGCGATGCGGCGCACAAACAACAAACAACGTTAAAGAAAACAGCAGCAGCAAAAGGAACGCAAAAAGAGCGCGAGGCAAAGAGCGTGAGCGAGCGAGTGAACGAGTGAGTGAGAGAGAGAGAGAGAGAGAGAGAGAGACAGACAAGAGGGGGTGGTATAGGCTTGTCAGCAACAACAACAGCATAAAATTTGATCAAAAAACGAGTCGTAAATAAAAGCAGAAAACTGTTTTTTTTTTTTGCTAAATTAAGTTAGCAGTTTTTTGATTTGTTGTTGTTGTTTTTATTCTTCTTCTGCTTCTCCTTGAGTTTCAGGCCTGTTCTGGGGAGTTGTAAATGTTTTTATGATGTGTTTTTTTATCGTTCTTTAGAAAATGTTCAAATTTTATTTTGCAAAATGGAATGCGAATGTGAAAGACATGGTGAAAAAAGAGTGAAAGGATGGACATTTTTTGGTCTGATTCTAATTTTCAATAAATTCCCAATAATAATATAAAGAAATTTTATTGTGGAAATAATACAACATTAACAAAAAAAGAACAACTATTTGAGGTACAAAAACTGCTAATATATTAAGAAAATGATTATAATTTTCGAATTTCATTCCAAAAATAAGGTACATAATTAAGAAATTTGATAATAATAATGAACAGTATATATAATAACAAATAGTATACATAAGAAAAATCACAAGAAATAATTATATTTCAAGAATTTCTC